TGCTTGGAGTTTGCAGGAGCAGCATAGATGCCAGTGAGGCTGGAGTGCACTGAGCCTGGGGAGAGGAGGAGGAGATGCCATCACTGAGCTCTGCGGCGAGCAGGTCATGAAGGCCTTGCAGGTCACCATAATGGCTTTTGGCTTTTACTCTGTGAGATGGGGAACCACTGGGAATAAGGATGCAAGAATGGAAGTTCAGAGACCAGTTAGGATGCTAGTGCAATGATAGACAAGAGAAGATAGAACTTGGGCCATGATCTACTGATAGCAGTGGAAAGTGAGGAATGACCAGGTTCTGTATATATTTGAAGGAAGAGCCAACAGAATTTGCTTGTTGGATTGGATGTGGGAGGTAAGAAACAGAAGAGGGAAGAATTTTGGCTAGAGCAGCTAGAAGGTTGTTCCTTGAAATGGGAAAGACTATGGGAGAAGCAAGTTGGGATTGGCCAGGGGCTCACTTTCAGACATGTTAAGTCTGCGGGTCTTATGAGACGCCCAAGTGGAAATATGTGAGTCTGGGAATCAGGGGAGAGGTACGGACTGGAGATGTAAATTGCAGGCCTTTAGCAAATAGATGGTGTTCAAAGCCAAGAGGCTGAGTGAAATCACCAGGGAAATGGGGATAGGCAGAAGAGAGAAGCCCAGGGCGGAGCCCTCGTACAGCACCGAGAGGTTAGGAGGACGAGGAAGTGCTAGCAAGGGTCAGGCCAGAGTGGGAGACCAAGGGAAACGCCGGCATTTTGTTTCCGGATAGGTAAGTCGAGTGCAGTGTGTATGGGAAAGCCCTTCTGTTTTCGCAGAGTTCTCACATTTTCCAAGCTCTGCATTCTCTTTGTTCTCCAGCAGGGGGCCCCGAGGCGCCCTGACCAGATTTCGCAGGTGTAAAACCACGGTATACATTTCGGTTTTAGGTGTGAGGCAGTCAGCTATAGAGAATGCCCACTCATGAAAAACATGTGCCTTCTACTCCAGAGAATTCATGACGGAAAGGAGCCCCATGAATGTAAAGGATCTGTGGAAAACTTTCGTCGTGGCTGCAGTTTACTGTACATTAAAGATTTCCAGCTGGTGAAAAAACTCGTGAATGGAAAAATACAGGAAAGCCTATGCTTGTGCTTCGCACGTTGTTCAACGTGAGCAAATTCACACTGATGAGAAACCTGATTAAGTGTCAAGAACTTCGATCTAACGGAAGTGTGTTTGGGGACTTGGGGCGGACAGTGGTTAAGCACAGAACATCTTTCCCTCTCAGTGGTTCTCAGACTCTTGAACTCAACAGTTGACAGATTACCCGGGATACTAAACTTGCATTTATGCTGGCATTTGACAGATTTTGATACACCAAATTCTTTTCCACTGAAAATGAGAGGTTTTCTTAAGGCATGAACATCACCTCTAAAGCACCCATTTCCAGATTTAGAAAACCTAGAAAAAACTATTTTCCCCTGGTGACAATATCCAGATTTTAATTTATTAAATAATTTTAATTGTTCAAATGTAAATCATGCAAAGCATGCTTTGATGAATTTTCTAAAGGAAATTATTTCTTCAGATGTTCGGGTCTTTGCCTGGAAACAACACTAGAGGCTATATAAGTTGACCCCATTAACTAGAACTAGTAAATACTAGTTTTCAATATAAATATAAGCTATATGGATTCAACTTTTTTTTTTAAGCCATCAAATACCTTCTAGGAACACTGTGAAATAGGGATAGGTGAAAGCCGAATAGTGGACGTTTTTATGAAGTATACTTTTATTAAAATAGTACACCTTTGATGCATGCTAGCAAGCCTCTTAGGAAGGAATGTACCAAAAGTCTTTTAGAGTCAGTCAAAGTTAGCTATCCAGAATTTTCATATTTATGTTTATGTAAATGAAGAAGTCAAACAATTTCAAATCCTACCTCCAAAAAAAGGACACCAAATTGGAAAAACACTTGAGGAAAAACTAACCTTATACCTATGTTTTCGTAAGTTTATTGACTTAAGTGATAAAAATTTGAGGACACTTTTAAGAAAATGCTTGTTAAAACAGAATAGTCTCTTTAAGGCATTTATAAAATTATTATGAAGGATAACTTTTAATCAAAATTTTTAGAGGATATCGATTAGTCAAACCTTAGTGTTACCCATTAACCCTGACCTTCTCTGTTAAATTAGCCTCAGTTTTAACTTTATGTATAAACTAATGATGACTCTATTTTTAATCCCAAGACATTTATTAGGAGTATCTAGATAATTTATGAAGCATTTTCAAGATGCTAGAATCTTCTGTAAAAATGCAGGGTGATGATAATAGTAAAGGAAGGGGAAATGAGTAATGAAGATTTAATATTACAAGAAACAGATCCTTCCATTTTTCAAAGAATAGAATTTAAAATGCTAATAATTAATGCCTGTGTATGGTAGCACTCAATATTTAGATTGACTATTATGTTTATATGCGTGTGTGTTTGTATATATATCTTCAATAGAAGCATATCTTGAACAAATCAAAATATTTATGAAAAAATCAGTAGTTTGATACTTCTAGCTCTGAAAGTTAGAACTCAATGGGATAATAGCAGCCCTGGGTTTATTTGAAATGCCCTAAAAATATCAAGTCTTGTTTCTCTCCTATAAAAACCATTTCACAATTACCTATAAGCAAGCTTATGCTAAGAGAGCTATATAATATCCAGCCTT